TTCAATGTTAGTGCGTTACATTTTCCACAAAAATATGAAGCAGCACAACTGATTCCAACATTGATAATAATCAGAAATGTTTCTTGAGCAGCAAATCAGCAGATTAGAGTGATATCTGAAGGATCATGTGACACTGAAGACTGGATTAATGATGCTGAAAATTCAGCTTTGCATCACAGAAATAAATAACATTTTACAATATATTCAAATAGAAAACAGCTATTTTAAATTGAAATATTTTCACAATATTACTGTTTTACTGTATTTTTGATCAAATAAATGCAGCTTTGGTGATCAGAAACTTAAACTTAAAGAAAAAAACAGAAATCTGTATCTGTACAATATTACTTGGTAGAACTTGCTGTGTTTTCGTAACATAACGCTTGCATGCATTTTTAGGAGAGCAGTATGAGCTCCACACTGGAACCACCAACACACCCAGTGTGATCGTACACGTGTGTGAGGACGACAGCTCAGACGACGAAGATGAAACTGCAGAGAGCAGCAAACGCATGCGTCCCAAGATCATCCAGACCCGTCGCCCGGACTATGTCCCATCCGTGAACCAGTGAGCGGGTAATTCTGGGCCGTTTATTCTTCACAACCAACACTGGAATTACTAGGAAACATGCAGTCATGCAGTTCGTCATCCTCACCCCCGGGGAGATCGGCGAACATCAAATCCTCTTCCTAGTTAGTGAGGGAGTCAACCATCCTCATAATCTCGTGTTTTATTTCTTAACATCCATCTCTGATGGAGTTAGAGACTTTGAGGACTTGGGAGAGTTTCTCTCGTCTTATGAATGTCATTATTTGCTGGACGTCACAACTGTGTATTTTAATAATCCGAGAGAAAAGCAACAGAAAAATCTGATTTACAGAAGGTTTTTGTGTAGCACAAACAAACTGAACATGGTGTCTGAAGTGTGTATCATTCGGGGCCACTAACATATACTCATCGTCATCATGTAGCGTCTCTAAGTTTAGTCAGATAAGCACTCATACAGTCTTTGAAATGTCATTATTATTGTTGCTGAAGTTCTTCACGAGCTCCTCCAAGTATTGTGCACTTTAAAAATAGAGCCTTATAATGTGGTAAACTGACAACAACATGAAGTACTTGTCTCTGTATATAGAGCGCAACTGTGACTGCCGACATTTTCCACCTTGAATAATGCAAGTATTTTTCCCATTCATTTTCTCCATCATTCACAACGTTTGATTTATACAAACAAAGTATTTGAAAATTGGTTAAAAAGACACTTGTACTTAAATTCTGTTAAACTAATCAATCCATGAATATTTGTGAATGACATAAATGTTAAAATAATAAAAAATGACAGTCAATATTAATAAAAATAAAATATTGACTGTATATAATTGACTTTATGAATAAAGTAAAAATATTGACTATACATTGATTGAAAAAAAAAACATTTTAACACCTAAATTCCTAGTAAATTTCTCAATTAAAAAGAAACCGCATACATTAAATGTGACATTCTGAAGTAGAAAAACTAAAAATGGTATTTACTTCAAATTTGCTCCAAAAATATTTATTTACAACTTGGAGAAAAAAAGAAATTTGTAGTGATGTAAATCATTGGCTGTATGTATAAATAAAATATAATTAAATAAAACTATAAAATATTGACTATACGTTGAACAAATTTGGTGTAGAAACAATTTTCACTCAGAAATTGCTATTATATTTAACAAACATTTACAAAGAAACAGTAAGTAACACATTAAATTAAACGTGAACTTTTGACATAGAAAAACTGGAAAGTGTTTTTCTTGTAAAACGAACTCCAAAAAAACTTTTTACAGTGAAATAAATAAATTGGCTGTATTTATAAATAAAATCAACTAAAATAAAATTAAATATTGAATATAAATCATTGGCTCTTTGTATAAATAAATAAAAATTACTATACATGGGGGAAAAAATCACTCAGAAATTGCTAAATTACAAACAGTTGCAAAAAAACGATAAGTAACACATATGTGAAATTTTGAAGTATACAAACTAAAACAGATTTTTCTTGTAGGTAATTTGCAGTGCATCATGGGAGTGAGTGGTTCGTTGTGATTCCCATTTCTAAAATAACAGTGACTTTCGATGAATCTTTGTTCATCTGGTGTAGGATTTAGCAATTAAACTGGATGATTTAAAAAAAATAAATCCACAGAAGCACACATGATCACTTAACAACCTTCTTTGGAGAAAATGAATGTGATTTATCTGGTAGAGGTCTACTGTTGCGCTCTTTGGCTTGTTAAATAAACCGCTGTTGTGCTCTACTGTCTTTGGAGATGTTGTCCTCTTTTCCATTACTGTTGGAGACGTTCTACTGTCAACCAGTGATTTTAAGCAACTATATCATACGGTGTATATTTGATGTATTTGAATGTAGCCGATATCTTGAAAAAGCTCGAGGATTTCTATCAACAACAACAAATCTTATTCATTAGGTAGCAAGAATATGGAAGGAGAAAGCATTAACCTACCTTTAATAAAACTATCTTGACCAAAGAACTGGATCTAGCGTTTATTTATGTCCTACGAACCGATCTTTGACAGACAGATGATGGGTTTGTATTGTATAACCTCATACAGCAGCTGATAGATAGACGTCATTTATTTGGATCTGGCATAGAGGCATAGATCTGTTTAAAGTCTTGCAAGAAACTCAATAATACTTGACTCTAGATTTCATTATTTGTTCATTTTGAAAATTCATCTAAACCACATCTGATTTGATATTCTGTCAAAGGTCTAAAGACTCAAACCAATGCGAAGACCAATCAAATTTAGTATGCAAATACAATGCAATTGTTGAATGTTAGATTTAAAAATAAATAAATCTTCCAAGTTAGAGAATTTCAAGCTTTCATTTCTCATTTCTTTAAGCATAATGCTGATATGAACCAAATGTCATCAGATTCAGAGTCACTCTGTCATTCACTGTTGCTTATTTTCTGCATGATAATGCAGGATCAGCAGCTTAAGAATGATCTGATTCATAATTAAAATTGCTTTTGAATGACGTCAGGACAGCAAAATACATCAGGCAATGATGCTTTAAACTTTCTAGAGCTTCTTCTAAATGTGTATGTTCCTGAAACCTGAAATAATCCTATAATTCAAGAGCAAATCCTGTTATTTCACCCCAAATCAAATTCAGCAATTACTCTTTACTTAGAAGACATGTTAGGGTTCTTTACAGATATAATGTTCCAGCAGGTTTGCTTGATCAATTTACCAAAGAAGCATGTCAAAATTTGGATTTTCAGGAAGTAGGATTTTCTTATCAAAGTGATAAAATGGCATACACCCTCCTGAAAATGACTAAATAAAACTTAAAAAAAACAAATCTGGTGTAAGTTTAAACCAATTTTTGATCAACAGGTAAGTATGTTGACCCAAAACATTTAAAGGGGTGGTTGATTGCGATTTCACTTTTTTAACGTTAGTTAGTGTGTAATGTTGCTGTTTGAGCATAAACAATATCTGCAAAGTTGCAGCGCTGAAAGTTCAATGCAAACGGAGATATCGTCTTTTAAAATTCTGGCAGTTTAATGCCTACAAAAATGGCTGGTAAGGGACTACAACGAGCTTCTTCCCAGGTCCGTTACGTCATGAACCCAGATTAACCCTGCCCCCGGAAAAATGCAACAAAGGGGGCGAGGCCATGCTGTGCTGCTTTAGAGAAGAGGAAGAGAAAACTAGGGGTGCACGTAAACATTTGTTCATATATGAATCGCGATTCTGTCTGCTAACGATTCTAATGGATTCACAAGTTTCAAAACCAATGTTCTAAAGCAACGGTTCTTAATACTGTTCCTCGTGTTCCCCTGCTCTGCATCTCTCTCTCTCTCTC